TCATCTGATCAATTATTGATAAATAGGAAGAGACTAAAGAGTTACTTTATAGAATTCAGTCAGGAGGGCATCACACTGAGATCAGATCATTTCTGATAAAAACAACATAAACTGTTTAAAATCTGAGTCTAATGTGTTTCTTAACATGCTGTAATGTACTGTTAATGTTTTTACCTATTGATGTTCTTGTTTTCTTTTTATTATATTGTAGCAGTGTCTTGGAGTAATTCAGAAAAGCGGCTCTTTTAAATAATTAAAATGTATTATTATTATTATTACAAAGTACCATAAAAATGAAAGTCTAAAAAACTATTCAGAACTCAAAAATCTTGAACATGTTAAAAATACGCAGAATACGATAAAAGATAAGAAAGACTTCGTATCTTCGGAGGCCACGAGAACGAAACAATGCTTTAAAAATCCAGTTTCTGATCAACTTGTGATATTACAACACTTCTTTAAATTATTTACAGCAATTCTTAAAATCTTAAGCCTTAGCCTAGCATAGCATATCTAAGTATAGGTTTAAAGGGGGGCGGGGCTTAGGAAGGTCAACAAGCTGTTTCTGGAGCTTTCAGCTGTATCACAGGATCTTTGGAATTTGCCCAGTTGTCATAATATTGTAGATGTTCAAATTTCCATTTTTTCAGCACTTTAAAGATAACCACTAATATTATTATAACACATTAATTTTACATTATTGTCCAGTTATCCAGCAGTGCAGAGTCAGCTGCAAAGCCAGACATAGGTTCCCTTGGTCAGGTAAAATTCAAATCAGCCACTGGACTGACATTGTCTGCATGGAAAGAAGAAGTCAGTGTGTCAAATAAACTGTGTTGCCTGGGTATAATTACCATAAAGAATTAGACCAGAGTCAAGACAATACGTAGCCTTTATCTCATCCCAGTGGTATTGTTAGTGGTCGTGTTTGTCAAAATTACATCCACATTTTCCACAAACCCCATTGCTTCATGTTCCCCAGAGTCATTCTTATCTCTTTCCGTTTACAAATGGGATAGCGATGCTGTAAAGCTGGATAATAATAATGAGTCATGTTTCATTAACCACACTGTGTAATACGGAATAGGGATTACATGCATCTCTGTGTTTGTTGTTAACAGGTGTGCCATGCGGTGACCCGCCATCCTTTCCTAATGCCCGTCTACAGGAGCACTCTGGGTATGAGTTGGGAGATGAGCTGCTGTACACATGTGTGCCGGGTTATGTAATGCCCAGTGGACACAATGCCTTTAGCCTGCTGTGTGACAGCTGTGGAGAGTGGTATGGACTGGTAGAGATATGTGTCAAAGGTAAGATGCTGTTTAAACTGTTTATGTTGGTGAGTGGGACAGAAATGAAAAGAGGCAGAAAGAGAAAGAGAAAGCCCCCTTCTTGCTTGTCCTCTTTAAAGCACTGAGCTTTGACCCAGACAGGAGACCGCCCTGAGGTCAACCTCCTTACTTCTTTCTTGTTAGCACCCATTGTTTTTTGGTGACCAGTGCTCAATTCCTGGCTTTTAGAAAACAGAGTCTCAGTTGTGAGTTGGGATGGAAATGGCTGCTATCACACCTCAGTGTGAGATGCCATAGGGTGGCCCAGTTCATAGCAGAGGGAGAAGAGGGCAAGAGTTGTCTGTGAAGACAGAACGCCAGGCCTGTGTCCTTCGTAAGCTACCAGAGTCGTAGTCATGTTTGTGCTCTACAGCAGTGGTTCCTGAAGATTAATGTGAGGCGCCACAGGAAATAACAAGAGGAAACAAAACCAAACAAATTTCTGTTACTCAAAATTATATCCATTTTTTTTTCTTACTTTACTCTAGATTGTCTTGTGTGATTGTCTTGTGATACACTGATATACTTTCATAGTCAAGCCAGTAGAAATCCTTCAAGTGAGCAGACTATAACCTGTAATGAAGGATCATATTTAGACTTGCTTTAGTTTAAAGGAATAGTTCTACATTTTAGGAAACACTTAATTGCTTTCTGGGTGAAAATTTGATTAGCATAGCTAAGCATAAAGACTGGAAACAGAGGGAAACTGCTTGCCTGGTTCTGTCCAAGGTAAAAAAAAAATCAGTCTGTAAAGCATACTAATTAACATGTTATCTAGTTTGTTTATTCCATCCAAAAAAGTGTAAAACTAAACTGTGGGGTTAAGGGGTTTAATGACAGACTATTTCTGAAATCTCTACTGGTTGCCTGACAACAGCAACAACTGGACTAAAGAAATGAATTGCCCCTCACAGGAAAAAATTAGCTAGGTACTAGTAGGCATTTTTTAACTTTAGACAGAGCAAGGCCAGCTGTGTCCCAGTGTTTCCCATCTTTATGCTAAGCTAAGCTAAGTGTCTGTATGTTCATATTGAGTGGGATATATTGGTGTGGTCTCAATATTCTCTGACTCTGACTGGAAAGAAATTTGGTCCACATTGTCAGAATCTGAAACTTGTGTGTCAAATGCCTCTTGAGTTACATTGTATGATCGCAAATGTTGAAATTGGGTGTAGCTTCATCACCTGACCAAGTATATGTGTCCTTGTTGTGTTTCTGCAGATGAGACTGAAAGTCACATAGATTATGAGGACAAGTTCACAGATTCGTATGGAGAGGAAGAGCGCCACAGCGAGAGACCAGAGGAGGCTCATGGTGAGGTGTATGAGGAGGTGCATGGAGCTTCATACCCGGAGGGGAAAATGAGTCAGGAGCAGCAAGAGACGAGCTTCAGTGTCGAAGTGGAGGAGGAGCATCAAGACCAACATAGAGAACATGAAGTGGAAGGAGAGGTGATTAGTAGAAAATTGGAAGGAGCTGTAGAAGGAGGAGAAAAAGACGGGGAACGGGCTGTTGAGGACATCATAGGCCATACGAGGTGGGAGCAGGAGAGGAGAGACGGGGTCACAACTGTCACAGCTGCAGCCACAGAAGCACCGGTCTCTCTACTCTCCCAGAAACACCTCTTCTGGTTCCCTTCTGAGGCCTTCCCGGAGGACGGGCAGCCTGTCTCCACCAATCCAGTCACACAGACTACACAGAGGGCCTCAGGCGCCCAATCAGAGGAGAGCAAAGAGCACGAGAGCCAAGAAAGGCACCAGCATCCAGTTGATGTTCATGACCATGATCGTGAGCCAGACAGCTACGATCCTCATGATGCTGATGATCGAGATGATCATGATGACAGCAATCATGACGACCAGGATGCCCATGACGACAGTCACCATGATGATCAAGATGACCATGACAGTCACCAGGACGAAGATGACCGTGATGATCATGTGAAACATTACATTCCAGCTCAGCATGATGATCTGGATAGACGGGACCACCACGACAATCATGACGATCATGATGACCATTATGACATGGGTGAACATGAAGAGGAGCGTGATCGAATTCGCTACGGCAGCGAGGACTATGATGATCGAGATGATACTTACGACGAACATGAAAGCTATGAAGATCATGAAGATGTGACTGACGATCATGGTGAGGATGATCAAGAACATCCTGATGGCTCCAAGGAGCATCCAGACCCTGATGATCATGATGACGAAGGCGAAGAGCTGGTGGAGGATAACGACCGTTATGCTGATCACAATGCTCATGAGCACGATGATCATGACCGCTACGACCATCATGATAGCCATGAAGATGTTGATGACGGTCATCAGCATGTAATCATTTCTATAGCAACAGATGAACGTCAGAATGTCACTCAGAAGGGAGAAGGAGGAAAGGCCACCACCGATGAGACCTGGTTGGACGGCTACCCTGTCGTTGCAGAGGAAACTGAAAATGGGGACTCCACAACAGAAAGGGTAAGACCAGAGGATAGCGAAAGGGGGACAGTTGTCAGGACAACAGACAGACCCAATGAGGTGGAAATTCGGAGACCTGTCCCTTACACCGCCTTACCAGAGGTCTCAGAGTCTCCCACCACAGACCCTGCCTTAGAGCAAGGGGGAGTGGAGGAGATGTGGCCCGGCTTCATCCCCACCGCTGCTCCCCTCCCTGACCGCTCACAGCCCTCAGACTCCCCCTCATACTCCGACCCCCTGGACTACGACACACAGCAGGCAGCTCCAACCCAATCCTGGCTTGGTGACCTCACTGAGCACCCGTTAATCAATCAGGACCCAGCTGGACCGGTGCTGGACAACGGTGACATCCTGGAGGAGCACACTGTGCACAACCTGCCCGGTGAGGCCGGCGAGAGGGGTGAGATGGAGGGAGAGATGGGGGAGACGATCTGTACAGGTGAGAACTGCCCTCCCCATCCTCCGAGCTCCTCCCGCCGAGGTCCCACAGTGGCGGCCATAATTGCGGCGATGTGTGTGATCGTCGCAGCTGTAATCGTCGGGGTGTGGTGTTACCGACGGCAGCAGCAGAAGAGCTCCATGTACGAGATGAATGGGAAGGGCCAGAGTCAGACCAGACAGGGCCAACAGATAGAGATGCAGCAAAAAGTGTAAGAGCGATAGATAAGGAAAGAGGGACGCTGAAGAGGACAGAGACATTTAGGAGGAGTGGATGAAATTGAGAGGAAAGCACAGCCCCTCATCTTGCTAGAAAATACTGCGTAATTGAAGATTTTGGATAGGTATGAACAGATTTGAAGAGCCAAACCTTACGTATGCGATGCAGAAAATGTTGTAAAACAATAAGAACCGATATCTAACAGAGTGAAACCTGAATGAAACAAGACGTTAGCAGTTCTGTCTGTCCCACTCATTGATTTTTAAGTTTTACCCATCTCTGTTATACCTGCCCATTATTTTCAAAGCTCTGACATCTAGCTGGACAGGTGGAGGGGGCTGTGTCTGGACTTGACTCAACTCCAAGAACTGAAAAAGGAGATTACAATGAAATGACCATGTAGGAAAACCACAAGAAGGCATGCCTGCCTGCCGGAATTTATGAACTGAGACTTCAACCTCCAAAGCTCTTGGACATTGTGGTAAAGATTCTCTGTTACCTTGCTGTTGTTTTTGTTGTCTTCATTGACTGCTCGTTTATTGTTGATTTTTCTGTATTGTTCTTGATTCTCAATCTTTTTCTGTTTGTCTGAGTATCATGTTGATGAAAAACTGTAGTCCACTTGTTACTCCACGATAAAAGCGCTGAAGTTCAGAACACTTCAGATCATCACAGCAGATTTGCGCACACCGGGGCTTCTGTCAAACCAGCATGAACGGAAAAAAGGATGATGGCGATGATGTTGGTTAGACCAGATGAGAGAGTCGAATGAGCGGTGTGCGGGGAAAGGTGTGAGAACGAAGGATGACAGGTGAAACATTTTAAGATTTTCCTGCCTCTGTTGGTTTTGACAGTCGACTGGTGAGAGATACAGAGCGGGTGTCCATCCAGACTGCAGACTCAGCCCTGTGTGTGTGTGTGTGTGTGTCTGTGTGAGAAAGATTGAGAGAGTGTGTGCGTGCATTTGTGTGTCTCAGGTCCGTGCAATCCATCGGTCAGCGGTACGTCGGTTTGCTGACGGCATTCAGACCAACCAGAGATCAAACATTGTGTTGCTGCCATGGCAACAGAGAGAAACTAATAGAAGTCTGACATATTGTGATGGCTTAGGGTGTTTAATGAAAAATGTAGTTAGATTAGTAAGCCTATGACTTTGGGTTAAAATTAGGGCTGGACCACATGCCCTAAAATATATGTCATGATAAATTGTTACATTTAGCTCTATAATTATTAATATTGTTTACTACATCAATGGATTAGTTTCCTTACTTGTTTGTCCTGATAAATCACAGTATGAGAAGTTAAAAAAGGGTTGACTAGATTGGACTGTAGGAGGATTTGTTAGGTGTCATTGGTTGTTGTAGTTATTCTAATTTTAAATATCTGGGAATTCAGCTTTATTGAAAATTCATGATGTTTATAAAAAACATTACAGATTTTACAGTGTACTATAGCTCTGTATGAGTCCATGACAATTACACTTTTTTCTGTACTGTGCCAAATACTTGAGAGCAAGGTCGTGTTAAAAAAAAAAAAAAAAAGCTCATAAAAAAGTGCAACTGTAAATAGCCATAAGAGGGTTTGAACTTAGATATTAGAGTTTGTAATTCTGGTGATGTATAGAGACTAAGATTAATTAAATGGCAATAACTTAATAGAAAGTGCTTTACTTGTAATTAATGTCAAAAGTGGTTGGTTGCTTGAAGATTAGACACTTTATGGTGTCAGCAGTCATGAACGATGATTTCATTATTCCTCATATTTCTCCGACTTAACATCCAGTGTTCTATAAAAAGTGTTTTTATTGCTTTATTTCAAATTGCTACAAATATTTCACCAATCTTCTTAATTTCTATATTGTGGTGACTGAAGCTGAGTTGACACAAATGTCCCAATGTGGAGACGGCATGGGGAATAAAGTACCTTTTGTCTATACATTTCTGTAAATATAATCTGTAACTGTTATAACTTGCTGTACATACAGTACTGTAACTTTACCGGTGTGTGGGAATTCAATTTAACTCAAACGTTAAATGTGTGTTTCTTAACCAAGACGGTCAAGCACAGTTAACAGTAGATATCACCTCTTCATGTCTTACACAGAGTCAGCTCATCCACTTTACTCAGAGTATACACTACTGCCTTTTACTTCACCTACTATTAGACACTGCTGTTCAAACACAAGTACTGTACTCCTGATAGCATAAATAAAGACCATATTGTAGATTGAAGCAACAACCTCTCATACACACCAGCTTTCCCACATGATCCATGCCTGAAGACTGATCGTAATCATCAGAGATCACTTGGGTTATGAGCAAAATTATGTCAAAAGAAAACAAATGAAAAGTTTTTGAAATTGCTGACTCTAATTCACATGATGCTAATATATTTCCATGCCTCTTTCTTCTTCATCTCAAACAGCCTGATGTGTGTGATGTCAGGATGAAATGTGTACTGTATGTGTGTTCTCTACATCACAATAAACTCCTGAACCTGGTTTTTACTCTTTATTTTGTCAAGGTAAAACAGACACATTCTCAGTGAATGACCTATGACCTTGACTCCTGACAATAAGCCTTTCATCTTAACTTCTAACCGAGCCGCTTATACCATTATTTCTTTGTGATATGTATCCGAAAATGTTTAAAAAGAACAAAAGAGGGCAGATTGAAGATAAAGCACTGGCAAGGGAGAAAGAGAAGTAATAAGAGAGACAGGTAAATACAGGCAGGAGAGGAATGAGAACACAGAGAGAGAGACGCTGTAATACAGAGAGAATGTTCCCTAGTGGGTTTTTAACATCACTGTGTGACAAACTGCACAGAGACTCAATGTTCAAACATTATTAAACAACTCAGTGTTTTCTCTGGATGTCTCACTGCTCAGCACAGCCCTGAGCTTCGTCTAAAGGACCCTCGCAAGCATCCTGCTGTCAGTTCTCCATCCACTCTTCACTCTATTGGGGCTCCAGTCAAAAAAGCAACAGACTGAAATAAGTATTAGTTGATTAATTAATAATTTAAGTGATTTTCAAAGCAAAATACAAATAATCTCTAGTTTCAGCTTCTTGGTTATGATGATTTGCTGCTTGTCTTTGTCTTGTGTGACAGTAAATTGATAGTAGATTGATTTTTGGGTTCTAGATGGTTTGTTGGACAGACCAAGCCATCTGAAGACATGTCATTTAGCTTTAGGAAATTGTAACAATTATATTTCACTATTTACTTTCATAAAATGCTTTCCAAATGCATGCCAAACAATTAATTGTTGAAAACCATGCTGCTGCCATAACCAGCAGATGTAGCTACAACCGTAGACTAAAGGGGGAACGTGAACTGGCCACATCCCCAAAACCATTAACTGTATATTACACTGTACACAGCGAGGATTACTTGAAAGACCTGATGTTTGGCAAGTTTTATTAGCAATTCATTGTAAAAAGTACCCTTTCTGAAAGACAACATACATGATTCACAGTGGAGGAATGAATCCATATAACAGCAAGTAAAAATATTTCTATCTCTATTATCATCATTGTCTTTAAATCCGTGAGCCGCTCATCTGGATATTTAGTGCACAAAAGAGGAAATTTTAAATACTCAGAATGTGGATCTACAGGTAAAAACAGTGAGCAAACAGAGCCTCGTACAAAACACAGTAAATACAAACTGGGGAGTGTTGGTGTTGTTTTGTTGTTTGCGTTTGTTTTTCAGTGTTTCGGTGGACTTTCCAACGTGGGGAAATTATCCTCGTCCAGGAACTCGTCTATAAACTCCACCACCTCCCCCTGCAGACACACAGAAAAGAAAAGAAAAACTGAGACAACTCAGGAGGGTCTGTTTTGGTTCATAATGATTTTGCAAAGTGAATTAGCATAAATCCTCCCACTCACAGTTCTATCTGTGATTTCTCATACCTGGCATTACTAAAGAGATTACAGTCAAGAACTGAATGGTATTAACCACGTACACCATGTAATCCTGGCTTATGTTGGGTTGCCCCTGATGGCCAAGGTCCTTGTGCTGCATCATACTGACTTAAAGAAATGCCAGTGTCATGCTGCCACCCCATGGCCGTCTGTCATATTGCAGCCTGATAAACACAGGCCCCACATTGTGCTGCAGGGTGTCATGTGACCAGAGTGAAGTATCCAGGGTTTTTCCATAAGTTACACAAGGACAGAGCCTGTGAGAGCCACAAACAACCTAATCCAAACTCTAACTGATTTCATGGGAATCACGCAGGTCTATTTTTAAGTGTAGACTGTAACTAATGTTTTCTTCACTTGACCAAAGATAACCTCCTGGCTGCAATTATCCCTGTGATGTACTACGGGTGCACTCACCTCATCGTCGCTCACCAGGCGCTGTTTTGAGAACTCCAACATCTGTAGCTGCATGGTAGTCTGATTGTAGTACCGCAATGCCTCCTGTAGCACACACAGGCACACAATAGGTTGTTACAGTGAACCAAAGACAAAACATACAATGTTAGTCCAGGGAACCTTACAACAAAAGTTTGATATTTGGAGAATATGCTTATTTGCCTTTCTTGCCGGGAGTTACATTCAAAGATTGATAGCGCTCATATCTGTCCATTAAAGGTCCAGTGTGT